TATTACAATAGTCCACTTACAGTTACTGCTATCATAAAAATACACTTTATATGTAGGTTTAAAATTCTACAAAAGACACATTTAATGTCCAAAAACAATTTTTTTAGCAAAATGTATATTTTACTCAGAATTATTGCCCTCCTATTTGATTGCGCTCTGTCTGTTTAGCGAGCATGCGCGCAGCAGCGCTCGTTCACTCACGTCAGCCTCGCCCACTCCTGACAGCAAAATGGATATGTTTGCATGACTTTCTTACATTTACAGATGAAAAATATACTTGTGACATGTCGGTTATGCACTGAGGAAAACACAACGTCTCAAATGCATTAAACCACAGATATATTCGCTGTTTGTCATGGTGGATCGATTTGATCCATGATCGACATTAATGTCTGCTTAAGAATAAGCGTCCACAAATTAGTGGGATTGTGTGAATTTAATTTGTCGTTAATGGAACCGCTTTAGCCCTGATTGAATTGTTAGGTTCTTTCAAGTCAGGTTTTGGATTTTAATCCCAGTTTTTCCTCGGGTCTCTGTGGTGTTGTGATGCGTCATATTCACGCAGCAGCAGTGGTGATGAGAGAGCGCGCTTGAGAAACGGTTTAGAGAGGAGAAATCAATCTACATATAAAATATTGGTCACAGATTATTGGTCATTTTCTAAATAATAAAAGTATAGCACATCCACTAGTAATTATATATAAATGAATCGGTTTTTACCAATGCAAATATGCTAGAAACGATGCATCGCGATATAAATGACAACTTGTAGTCGATGCACACTTTTTAAACCGATGCATCGCATCGTTAACGTTTTATGCCAATGCACCGAGCGAATCAGGGAATCTTCCCATCCCTAATATATATATATATATATATATAGCCTACATATACAACAAAACAGACACCCCGATTGATTTGTTAGGTTATTTCAAGTCATGTTTTGGACTTTAATCCCAGTTTTTCCTCGGGTCTCTGTGGTGTTGTGATGCGTCATATTCACGCAGCAGCAGTGGTGATGAGAGAGCGCGCTTGAGAAACGGTTTAGAGAGGAGAAATCAATCTACATATAAGATATTGGTCACTTTCTAAATAATAAAAGTATAGCGCATCCACTAGTAATTATATATAAATGAATCGGTTTTTACCAATGCAAATATGCTAGAAACGATGCATCGCGATATAAATGACAACTTGTAGCCGATGCACACTTTTTAAACCGATGCATCGCATCGTTAA